GAAGTTCTCACCGTCCTAGGACCGGAGCACACCGGATGAACAGCCAGACCCAAAACAAGTGAAGTAGACTTTGGCCAGGCTTTTTATATACACGACATAGGTCACATGACTGAGGATAAACTCTTTCATCCTATTGGCTACTTGACAGCATATCTAATCTGGGAGGGAATAAATTATATCAGAAAACCGGATGTTGTTTTAGATGGGATTACGTTAGACCACAAGATCTTATCTTGGATGGGATTATGTTAGATTACAAAATGAGCACTCCATGGCTCCATCACTATACTCAGCAGACTGTACAATAATCCAGACTGTGTTCTGTCAAACCACTGAGACTCTTGGCCCAGCTACACCGAAGTTCCATGTGGTGGAGTCAGCTAAAAGTTTCAGCTATCCCATGAACAACAGACCAATTTATCCATATCCACTAAACACAATCCCAGTGTTGTGGTCATAAATTTACCTTTCACACACATTGCTGCATACAAGTGATTTCCTTCCACTATCAGTTAATATGAATTATAATGTTACTGTTTGATGCCTTATGGAAATAGGAATTTACTCATTGCTGTCAGCTCATAGTTGACCACTCTTTCAGATTCTAAGATGACCCGGCTGGCTTTCTCCTGTACGGCTGCTGGTGGCTTCAGACTGTTAGTGAGGCTCAGGCTTTGGCTTAGCAGTGCAGTTCCCTGTGGGCTTGTCTTGTTTGTGCAGGAAGATCTTTGGGAGTCTGGCAGGGAGTCCTTGTAGATTCTTTGTTTGAGTCCTTGCAGATTCTTTGTTTGTTTGTTTGTTTGTTTAAAAAAAAAAAGAAAGAAAAAGAATGAATGTAAAGATAGCTATATATTAGGAAATTGCATCCCAAATGGATGGACCTCCCACCTGAAAGGAAATACGGAGGAAAGGCTAGTTTACTTTTTTATATAGATTTTTTCCCCCCTTTTGTCAGCAACATAGGTCCTGTTAGAAAGAAAAGATGCCTTGGAGATGGGATCTATGACATTGCTTGTGTACATTTTTTTCTTTATGATTAGAAATATTTTCTTTCAAAATTATTTATTGAATGTTTTCACTATCTCAGGTAGAGTCCTATATGTTGGCAATACAATGAGTAAAGTAGATACACGGCCCTGACCCCTTGTAGCTTTGCCTCTAATAAAGTGGAAGCCATTAGCATATAATCATGCTAATTCTTGTATAAAAAGAAACTGAGTCAAGTGCTGTGAGGATAAAAGGAATTCCTATGAAAAGATACTGAGTTCTGAGATCTGAAAGGTGAGACTCAGGATACAGAGGGTAATGTAGTGAAGCCTGAGAGGAGATCATGTGCAAAGATCCTGTGGTAAGAAATATGGCCCATTTGAAGATTAGAAGGCCAATAAGAAGCATCCCAAGAATAATAAGTGTGGAATTCTTTAATTAGTTGTGATGTTCCATTCATCTGTCAGGTTGTCAGGTTGTCTGCATGTTGTTTGGATATGAGAAGCATTGCTACTAGTATTTAACATATCAGCAGGGTCCCCAGTGGTAAATTTCAGTGGAAATTCCAAATTAAGACAGACTTTGAAGAAGAACCCGGAAATACACTTCTAAAAGAAAATTTTTTAAAAAGAACAGTTAAGCTTCATGAATAACAGTAGAACATTGTCTGATACAGTGTCAGATCATGATCCCTCAGGTTGAAAGGTATTCAAAATACAACTTGGTAAGAGTTGCCTCCTCAAAGTAGAGTTGATCTAAGCAATGTAGATCTAAAACTTTTAGAACTTCCACTTGTTGACGTGACATAATTCAAACTGAGGAAGAAACAGCTATATACAGAAAGCCACTAAAATATAGGAAGTATGGATCTATGAAAATTGGAAACTCTTAAATATGAAATAAAATATTTGAAGACAAATATCCTAAGGACATTTCAAGTTTATGTTGAAGCCTAATGCTATCTGTGATAACGTCCGTATGTCTAGAAGGAAGATAATTTAATGTCTACTGTTGAGATTTCTAGACCAACCACTGTCTATTGTTAGGATTTCTAAACCAAAGATAATCAAGTTATAATAATAATAATTTCTAAACCAATCAAAGATAATAAAGTTAAAGGTTTTACTAACTTCTACAGTCTGAAATTGCTTAAGCATACAATCAGAATGCATTGATAATAACTAGTGATTGAAATGAAAAAGTTTGAAACAAAGAAGAATCTATACTTAGAAAATATAACACAAGATCATATGATAGAATTTTGCAAGACCAACTACTTATTCACTGGAAATACTTTAGGACTACCTTTTTAGCAGTGTAAATGGTGACCTGTACACATTGACTGTGTTAGATGGCATAAACAAGAATTAAAACGGCTAGATTTGTTCAACGAGATGATGGAGAAGTATAATATCATTATTTAGAACAAGGCACGGAACCATCTGGAACAGACCTTTAGCTGCTCATATGCAATTTCAAGTTGTAGCTGAGGAAAATGATAACATTTTGTAATTATATGAAAGTTTGTCAATGTCAAAGTATCACCTTAGGCATACGCCAACTGAATCTAGAGACCATTTCAAGAATAGATTTGACCCACTGAACACTAGATGAAGACCAGACATGTTGTGGGATGACATCAAGGTCAGCATTCAAGAAGAAAGCAGTCAGCCACTAAAAAGCAGGAAAGGAAGAAAAGACCAAAGGAAATGTTAGAAACTACTCTGAAACTTGTTTTTAAATGTAAAGTACTATGAAATAGTAGTACTACGAAATTGTAGATACTACAAAAGAAAAAAAAATATATTAAGGTAAAAGAACTTAACAGATTTCAAGGGGCAGCCTGGGAGGACAAAGAATTAAAGTGATCAGAAAGATTTGGAGTTAGAAAAACTAAGGGGAAATCATGCCTATTGAGCTGAAAGGATTGAAGAAAAAAAATCAAGCTTTGATTTGCAGTGGTGAAGGATTCTATGGTGGCACTATGGGTTAAGTATTGGTCTACTAATTGAAAGATTATTGTTGTTGTTGTTAATTGCCTTCGAGTCGAGCATGACTCATATGACCCTATGAACAAAAGGCCTGAAGCCCCTCAACAACTATCCACATTTATCAAAGTTCATAGTTTCCAGAGGAATGTTATTTAGGAAGTGGATGCCACTCCTGCAGATTCCAAACCAACAATGACCTTATGGGAGAAAGACAAATTAGCTTGCTTCTGTAAAAACTTTATACCCTTGAGAAATACAGGTAACAAGGTAACAAAAATAAATCCTAATACATACATAGGGCTGAAAAAAAGACTGCCTTCTGGTCTAAGTATAGGTTTCACATAAGCACTATCAAATGTTCTGGGATTCCCATTCTTCTCAGAATTAGCCATAGTTTGTAGCGTATAATTTAGAACCAGTGGTAATGAAGGAAGATATCCAAGCTCTAATGAAGACACTGGTGAAAAATAAGGCTCCAGAAATTGATGGAATACCAACTGAGATGTTCTAACAAATGAATGCAATGGTGATGTGCTTAAGTGTCTATACCAAGACGCTTGGGTTGGGTTTTTTTTTTTTTTAAGAAACATATCGTTTATTTCTGTTAACCTTATTTTCACTTTTTAAGACTGAAAAGACAGCTTAAGACCACTCAATGGTTGTTCCAGCCCACTCAGTGGCCTGCACTGGGGGTAGCAGACCAGTCTTAAGTTGCAGGCTGAACACTCCAGTCTTCAGTAGGGAACTGCTGAATAGGGACAGAGGACAGCTGCGCGCTTTCAGACCTGTTCCTGACCTCAGGCTGAGCAGCAGTTAATTGAGGAGCAGGGACCATCCTTTCTCCCCAAGACTCCTCCTTGGTCACAGCCTTTTCAGCAGGAGCCTGCTCTTCCTCTTCAATCTCTTCTGGATCTCTGTAGAAGTACAGATTAGGCATGACCTCTATCGGGTGCTCCCAGGAGATTGTGCCATGCATGTGCAGGACTTCCTGGGCCAACATCCACATCAGACCCATGAATTGAGCTCCCTTGTTACGTGGGATAGCAATGTCTACGCAGCACAGGGGAGAATCTGTGTTACACAGGACAATGGTGGGCAAGTTAACATAAGATGCTTCTATCAGAGGCTGGTAGTCAGCCCTGGGATCAGTAACCACTGGAAGATGAGGGTCCTGAAAGGCTGCCTGGATCTGGTTAGTGATGGTTCCAGGGCTGAAGTGCTCAGCAATAGGCGTGGCCCCAGTAGCAGCATCAAACTTCAAAACAGCTCTCTGGCCAGTATTTCTGAAGGATATGACACTGATATCAGCTGGATTTTCAATGACAAACAATGGTCTGAGCCATCAACAGAAGCTTCTTCTCCCAGGTTTTCTTCAGGTTTATGATGTAGTTACTGTCACTTTTCCTTTTGTAGATGTCAAAGTTAGTGTCATCCAAGTGCGTTCCTGCTACAAGGAATTTGAAAACATCCTCCTCCTTCATCTGCAGGGCTCTGGATATAGTGGAAGTTTCCCCTTTAAGTTATGACAAGAACCAGGACAACATCATGTGGACCCTTTTGTAGGTAGCATGGAGAACTATACTAAATAGTTGAGAAGAAAGCAATGTGACCATGTGACTGGAACATGCTCACTCCAAAGAAAAGTGACCCAGGGAAATGTAGAAGTTATCCAACAATATCATTAATGTTATACTCAAGTAATATTTTGTTGGAAAAAAGTCTAAAACTAC